AAAAATAAATAATATTCTCTCTTTCTCTCTCTCTCTCTCTCTCTTTCTCTCTCTCTCTCTCTCTTAAAAAAAAAAGAAAATGAAATTATGTCATTTAAAGGAAAATGGATGGAATTGAGAATATTTGGTTAAGTGAAATAAATAGGGTCATGTGTTTTATCTCATATGTGGAAGCTAGAGAGGAAAAAGGAAAAGGAGATTTCATGAAATTTCATGAAAACTGAAAGAAGATCAGTAGAGTACAGGAAAGGGACCAGGAGGAGAGAGGAGGGAAGGGAAAAGGGAAATACTGGGAATGATATTGGCCAAATTATTGTTACACTGTGTGCATGTAAGAATGTGTAGCAACAAATCCCACCATTATGTACAACCATAATGTACCAATAAAAATTGTGGGGGAAAAAAAATTCAGGGCTAACTGAAAAGTCTTTAGACTTAAAGGTATAATCAATAAGGAAAAAAAGTCAATAATTTGGACTGGATCAAAATTTAAAACCTGTTCTGCAGAAATGCATTAAACTACACATTAAGTTATAGATTAGAAGAAGATATTTGCAAAGCACTAATTTGCAAAGAACTAATGTCTAGAATATATAAAGAATGAGCAAAAGTCATCAGTAAAAAAAAGCAAACAACCCAGTGGGCCAAGACATGGTCAGATATTTTGCTAATAAGCAGAACATGCAAATAGCAAATATACATATGGAAATATGTTCAATATCATCAGCTACTAGCAAAACTGCAGTTAAAACCAAGATAAGCCAGGTGTGGTAGTGCACACTTATGATCCCAGTAGCTTGGAGGCTGAGGCAGGAGGGTCATGAGTTCAAAGCCAGCCTCAGCAAAATGAGGCTCTGTCTCTAAATAAAATATAAAATAGGACTGGGGATGTGGCTCAATGGTTGAGTTCCCCTGAGTTCAATTCCCAGTACCCTCCCCAAATAAAAACCAGGATAAGATACCTATTGTACAACAGCTAAATAAAAAATAATGACAATATCAAATGCTGGTAAAAATGTAAAGAATCTCTCATACATTGCTGGTAGAAATGTAAAATGATATTGATACTCTGAAAAAGTTGAACAGAAAAAAACTTAACATACACTTATCAAACAACCTAGCACATTTATCCCAGAGAAATGAAAATATACACCCACAAAACTGGAAATCCACATGTAGCAAAATGAAATTAAACCCCTTTCTATTACCCTGCACAAAATTAAACTCGAAGTGGCTCAAGGACCTAGGCATTAGACCAGAGACCCCGCACCTATGAGAAGAAAAAGTAGGTGCAAATCACATCATGTCGGCTTAGGAATGGAATTCCTCAATAAGACTCCTAAAGTGTAAGATGTAAAATTAAGAATCAATAAATGGGATGGTATCAAACTAAAAAGGTTCTTCACAGCAAACAATCAAGAACATGAAGAGAAAGCCTAGAGAATGGGAGAAAATATTTGCCATCTGCACCTCAGAGCATTAGTCTCCAGGATATACAAAGAACTCAAAAAACTTAACATCAAAAAACAAACAAACAAACAAACAAAAAAAACCCCACAAATAACCCAATCAATAAATGGGCAAAGGAACTGCACAGACACTTCACAGGACAAGAAATACTACTGGTCAACAAATATGTGAAAAAATGTTCAACATTTCTAGCAATTAGAGAAATGCAAATTAATGCACCAAGATTTCGTCTCACTCCAGTAAGAATGGCAATTATCTGGGCTGGGGATGTGGCTCAAGTGGTAGCACGCTCACAAGGCATGCGTGAGGCACTGGGTTCAATTCTCAGCACCATGTAAAAAATTAAAAAAAAAATAAAGATGCTGTGTCCACCTAAAACTAAAAAATAAGTATTAAGAGAAAAAGAATGGCAATTATCAAGAATACAAGTAACAATAACTGTTGGTGAGGATGTGGGGGAAAAGGTACACTCATACTCTGCTGATGGGACTGCAAATCAGTGTAACCACTTTGGAAAGCAATATGGAGATTTCTTAGAAAACTTGGAATAGAACCACCATTTGATCCAGTTATCCCACTCCTCAGCACATACCCAAAGGACTTAAAGTCAGCATACTCTAGTGATGTGGCCACATCAATGTTTAAACAACTYAGTTCACAATAGCTAAGATATGGAACCAACCTAGGTGCCCTTCAACAGATGAGTGGATAAAGAAACAATGGTATAAATACACAATGGACTATTACTCAGCCATAAAGAAGAAGGAAACTATGGCATTTGTAGGATGGAACTGGAGAGCATCATGCTAAGTGAAATGAGTCAATCCCAAAAAAACCAAGGCCAAATATCCTCTCTGATATGATGATGCTAATACACAATAAGAGGCAGGGGAGAGAAGAATAGAAGTTCATTGTATTAGACAAAGGGGAAATGAAGGGAAGGGGTGGGGGAAGGGAATAGGAAAGACAGTAGAATGAATCAGACATAACTTTGCTATGTTCATATATGAATACCTGACCAGTGTAACTCCATATCCTGTACAACCACAAGAATGGGAAATTATACTCCATAAATTTATAATAAGTACAAATACATTCTACTGTCATGTGTAACTAAAAAGAATTTAAAAATTTTTAAAAACGTGCATCTAGGGCTGAGGATGTGGCTCAAGCGGTAGTGCGCTCCCCTGGCACGTGTGTGGCCTGGGTTCGATCCTCAGCACCCCATACAAACAAAGATGTTGTATCCGCCGAAAGCTAAAAAAAAAATTTAAAAATTTTCTCTCTTTAAAAAAAATGTGCATCCACATAAAAACCTATACACATTATGTTTTTTAAAATTTTTAATTTAATTTTATTTAATTTTATTTATTTTTTTTTAAAGAGAGAGAATTTTTAATATTTATTTTTTAGTTCTCGGTATGTGGTGCTAAGGATCGAACCCGGGCCGCACGCATGCCAGGCGAGCGTGCTACCGCTTGAGCCACATCCCCAGCCCCCATGTTTTTTTTTTTTAATTTTTTAATATTTATTTTTTAGTTTTCGGTGGACACAACATCTTTATTATTTTATTTTTATGTGGTGCTAAGGATCGAACCCAGCGCCCCGTGCATGCCAGGCAAGCGCGTTACCGCTTGAGCCACATCCCTAGCCCCATGTTCTTAACAGCTTTATCTGCAATAGTCAAAAAATTGAAAACAACCTAGGTGCACTTCAAAGGATTGATGTTCTTTAATGGAGAAAGAAACTTGGGTGCATCCACACCATGGAACACTACTCAGAAAAAAAGAGGAAATAAGCTACTGAAAGTGTGCTGAATTTTTTAAAGAACCAGTCACAAAAGGTAACATACTGTGTGATTCCATTTATGTAACATCTTCAAAATGACAAAATTAGATGGAGAACACAGAAGTGGTTGCCAGGAGTTACAGACAAGAGGGAATGGTATAACTGTGAAGGGGTGGATGAGGGATGTTTGTGCTAATGGAACAGATAGTTCTGTATATTGATTGTGGAAGTGAGCACATGAATCTTCACATGTAATAAACTGCATAGAATTACACATACATTCACAATTGAAATAAAGGACAGTGGATTGCATCCATGCAATTCCCTAGTTTTGACATTATACTATATTATGTAAGATGTTAATGAGTATTTAAGTTACCTTTGTAACTCTATGCATATATAATTATTTCAAAATAAAAGTTTTTTTTTTAATAACAGAATGTTAGATAATCAGATGGGACAGTGTCAAGCCTACCAAAGCAAGGAATAAAACCTAGATGTATTTTAATTGTTCTGTATAATTGTTTTTATAGGTTCTATAAACCACCTCCACAATTTCTTTTACAAAAATCACCTGAGGATAAATGGGATTTTATATAGTTATGTAGCCAGTAACTCCTAAGAGAGGATATCATAATTCCAAATTGTTATCACAAATTCCATATGAAATTATTTCCTTGTTACAAATTACTTCAAAATTCTCCTCAATCTAACCCCAAATGACTCCACATCAGAAGGCACCACCATGGAGGTTGCCAGTAGGTTTCAGGCCAGAATCTTCCCTAGCCTCCTCCCCAGGACCACTTGGCAAACTGAGGCAGGGCTGGCTCTGCTAGCTCTTTCCTTTGCCTCCCCAGTTATTCCCACTGGATGCCATGGTGGGCTCAGGAATCTTACCTGTTGAGGTCCCAGATTCTTAGGGGTGAGAAGTGCCCACAACAAGCTGTCCCTGTCACAAAAGAGCTGCCAAACAAAAAGAGAACAGAGTTAGATCTGGCTTGTCAGAACTTGTGTCGAAAATGGCCACACAGTGGAAAATGCAGGGCTTATTTCCTAGGTGGAGTTAATCCAGAATGAAAAGCAGTTGAGAGTGATCAGAGCAATCATGGGAAGACAGCTTGGAAGGGGAGGGCTGCAGACTCCCAGGGTTGCCTGGACAGAGGACCTTTGGGTTCAATCATAGCTGAGGGGCTGGGGTTGTGGCTCAGCTGTAGAGTGCTTGCCTAGCATGTGGGAGGCCCTGGGTTCAATCTTTAGCACCACATAAAAGTGAAAAAATAAAGTAAAAGTATAAAAAAAAAATCATGGATGAGCCTACTACTCACACTGGGTTGAGTGGTCTCTGCCCACCATAAAACAGACCTCTAGATTCCATTCTGGGCCCAAGGGAGCAAGCCTGTCAGGCTGCAGTTGTATGAACACAAGAGCACAATGCCACAGCCCAGAAAAGGCCTCGTGGGGGGCTGGGGATATAGCTCAGTTGGTAGAGTACTTGCCTTGCATGCACAAGACCCTGGGTTCGATTCCCAGCACCACCAAAAAAAAAAAAAGCCTCGTGGGAACACACAATTGGAGGCTAGTAGGTGATGCCCTAGTTAGAGGCAGGGGTGACTGGAGTATTCCTGAATGGTTTAAGAACTGAGGGACC